AAAAAAAAAAAAAAAAAAAGAGTCAGAGTCTTGCTCTTGCTCAGGCTGGTCTCTACCTAGTGAGCTCAAGCGATCCACTCACCTCAGCCTCCCACAGTGCTAGGATTACAGGTGTGAGCCACCTCGCCTGGCCCAGACTATTTGTTTAACACATATTACTTCCTCCACTCTTTTCTTGCTTTATATTATGTACTTTTTGTTCCCCATCCACTCAGACATGCATAATTTTAAAAAGATCTGGGGTGTTTATTATCTAGGACTTCTCTTTGAGAGTCGTTCATGAAGCTTATGTAATAAGCTAACAGAGTATGTTTCTCTTTAGGTAATGATGAATAAAAATTCGTGCCAGTGATTCCTATTGAATTTCCATTCACTGGTTGTATGGATTTCCAGTTAGGTATGGACTTCCAGGTAAGGGGGCTAGTATAAAGATAAAGGAAATCAAGGTTATTCTGGTAAGATATTTAAAAAGAGTTTTTCATACACCTATGCTGGTTTAGATATGGTTACTTCTGCTGGAACATATTAATGGATATGATGGATTGAGTCAGTTCCTAATCAACTGTGTGAACCTGTAATTATACCTAAAATATGCCATCTCCTAAGGGCCAGTCAATATCTTTTAGCATTTTCAGTACAGTGCCTAATGTGAAACGTTCTTGATCATATATTTTTGGAGATATTTTAATTAAAAATGGACCCACTGGGTGGTGCCTGTGGCTCAAAGGAGTAGGGCACCAGCCCCATATACCAGAGGTGGCAGGTTCAAACCCAGCCCTGGCCAGAAACTGCAAAAAAAAAAAAAAATGGACCCACTTATTACACATGACCATAAAAAGCTAAACTAATATATTGGTGGGTTTAACAAATATAAAAGAAAAAAAATTTTTTTTGAGACAGAGTCTCACTGTGTTGTCCTCAGTAGAGTGTTGTAACATCACAGCTCACAGCAACCTCTAACTCCTGGGCTTAAGCAATTCTCTTGTCTCCACCTCCCAAGTAGGTGGGACTATAGGTGCCCACCACAAGGCCCAGCCATTATTTTTTTGTTGCAGTTGTCAATGTTGTTTGACAGGCCCGTGCTGGGTTCAAACCTGCCAGCCCTGGTACATGTGGCCAGTACCTTAGCCACTGAGTTACAGGCACCAAGCTAGGAAAAAATATTAAAATAACTAAAAATGGGATTCCTGGCTTGGTGCCTGTGGCTCAAGTGTCTAGGGCACTGGCCACATACACCTGAGCTGGCAGGTTCAAATCCAGCCTGGGCCTGCCAAACAACAATGACAGTGGCTGCAACCAAAAAATAGCCTGGCATTGTGGCAGGCGCCTGTAGTCCCAGCTACTTGGGAGGCAGAGGTAGGAGAATCACTGGAGCCCAGGAGTTGGAGGTTGCTGTGAGCTGTAATGCCATAGCACTCTACCCAGGGGAACAGCTTGAGGCTCTGTCTCAAAAAACTTCCTAAAATAAAAATTTTTAAAAAATTAAAATGGATTCCTTTAGATACTCTTTTCATCACAAACGTTCTTAAACTCCTACTAAATACTAAGTGATATACTTTGCAATAGGTTACAGATCCTCTCAAGGAACTTACAGTGTGGTAAACAGACATTTAAAGTAATAATAATTATCATTAACACAGTGCAAAAATGTTAAACTTGGAGGATATAAAAAGTGCTATACAACAATGTGTACTAAGGGCAGTGCCTGTAGCTCAGTGAGTAGGGCGCTGGCCACATATTACCAAGGATGGCAGGTTCAAACCTGACCCCAGCCAAACTGCAACAAAAAAATAGCTGGGCATTGTCGAGGGCGCCTGTAGTCCCAGCTACTCAGGAGGAGGCTGAGGCAAGAGAATCGCCTAAGCCCAAGAGCTGGAAGTTTCTGTGAGCTGTGATGCCACACTGCTCTACTGAGGGCGACAAAGTGAAACTCTGTCTCAAAAAAAAAAAAAAAAAAATTTACTAAAAGGCATGTACAAAAATGTTCATGGCAGCACTATTTGGTAATAGCCCAAACCTGAAAACAACTCAGTAGAATAGATCAGTATGCACTACTGATATATTGCTTCAACTATGAGAAAAAGAACCCAGATTCAAAAGAGAACATATGATAGGATTCCATTTATGTAAAGTTTAAAATAGGCATAACCAAAATGTTATATTAGAATTGAGGCTGGAGATGTAGTATTTGGAAATGGGATAAGGGCATTTCTGGGATTCTGGTAATGCTTTTTTTTTTTTTAATTATATGCCTGTTACATGAGTCTATA